TACCATTTACAGAGCCAAACTTTCCATTATAAGTTTTTACACCCGTATCATAGTTGTTTTTACAATTACTTTTACTCTTGCCATCTCTTGTGCTGATGCTTAGTAGCTGTCAAGAAGGTCAGGGTGAATAGCTGCCGTAAAGTGTAAGCATCAGACAGGCACTGTCTTATGCCTCGCACGTCCTGGTATGACTACACCAAAACACCACATAGTCCCAACCACTTGCACTGTAGCACTGTAGAGCGATGTCCTTGCTGAAAGAAAGTGGCATGCGTGGGGTTTTAACCGCACCTGTAAAGTGCAAAACAAACTACCGACCAACTGCGCCATCCCCCTCCCCAATATGCTGAACAGAAAATTGTCACGATTCGAACACTGGACTATCTAAGCAGCAAAGATATGACACGTTGTCTTTAATAACCCTTATGCCGATATGGCACAAACAGTAAAAGGGTTGAAGTCAGAGAACTGTTTGAAACATGATCACTAAAATTTTACTTACCGACATCGCAAAACATAAGTAATGAGCAGCCGGGGACCAATTCAACGGCAATAAATTTGCTCGACCCTAAACATAACAAAACAGACATTCAGGAGAGTAAAAACCGAAGATTCAACAAAGTTTAAATCCGGAAATCAAATGTAAATATCTATTTTGGATGAAACCAAATTCTTTCATATCGAAAGCACGGCAGCCAAAAAAACCGGCGCAAAACGCGGACTAACGCTCAACAACAGGCAACTGTCAAAATGGTTTAATTGTTTCAAAATAACAACAGTTTCGATGACGAACCTTTTCCTAAGCCCCGCAAAAGGAAAGTTCTCGTGACTGCGCACAAAGGATGCAGTACTCAACCTCGGTACACAACAGTGGCTAAAACCACCAAGAAAGATAGCTATTTTGTACACCTATTTATCCATGAATTTTTTGCCTGCGCTGCAAGACACACTTGCTTTCAGGTAGGCTACAAGCAATAATGGTGACCAGTTGACTAATTAATACAACGCATAATCGACTGACCAAGCAGAACAAAGGGTAAACGGGCAAAAAACATCGCCTCATGCCTTCCCAGCTCGAAGGAAGCATGGAAATATCTTTAGTAAGTAGAGACGTGACCAAGACGGCTTCAGTAACGTAACAACTGCCAGAATCACTTCGATAGACAGATCTCTGGAATCAACATCAAAAGCTTCCTACACAAATATCAAATTTTTTCTCGAATTTATTAACGCAAAGTTATGTAGTCTAGGTAATTCTAAAATGATAATTAATCAATCAGTATACAAACAGAAATACAAGACAGCCAGGCATGGTCCTCATTAACCATGTCGGCAGTCTACAGAAAATATTCACAGAACAAACTGATCAGCAAGTACGTTTTCACCCATGATCTCTCAGTTTAAAACAGTTTCTCATCAATTTATAAAAATTGTTGCAACTGATTATTTGGGCGATGTCTTCGGTGTTAAAAGTGACAAAAAATATACGTATCTGCTTATCAGCGCTTCAAATGTTCCAGATCTGCATTTTTCGTGGTATTTTTGGCTATTCCCGTAGATGATTCATGGGTATTCGTTTAATGTGACAAAAACACGATTGATATCAAAAGGGTCTGTGTATTCGACCAACAGTTTTTCTATCGCGCTAATCAATATTCCGCAAAGAAGTTCAATTTTTTTACTTCAAGTTTTTACTGGTTTATTACTGTTTTATCGAGATACTGTTTAAATTGCATATTTTTTGAATGCCCTGTTTGGCCGTTGAGGTATGAGTTTAAACTGATGACAAAGATTATAACTCCGAAGCAACTATGATTCTTTTGCTTTATTGCCGTTGCGCAGTAAATCGAAAATCGCTATCTTGTTCATAGTTTCATTTGACTGCTTATCATTCTTATTGCCAATGATATTGCTTTATTTACATTAAATCGTTAATTCTTTGATCTATGCTGAAAAACAGACTATCTTTGAGGGATCTTTTTCAAGTAATAAACTTTCACTTTTTAAATTTTAGTCAATAAATCCGCACGGAAGCCCACTAGCAGAAAGAATGCTATGGGAAGCAGTCACGGTGAGCAAATGAAAAGCAAAATCAACAGGCAGGAATCAACTTGCAAAATCATCCAGCAAGGTATTCCCTGGTACTTAATTAATTGTAGAAAAATGTATAATTTGTAACCCCATCGTCTTCTACAAACTTATCACTATGCTCTTGCTAACCAATGCTAAGATGCAACAAGAAATTCATTCAAATGCACATCAAAAAAAGCCACGACCATGGCTCCAAGATAGAGTTCGTCATTTAAAAGGGGATTGCAATTACACCAGGTTTGAGCCTTGTCAGTTCCAGATAAAGTTCTTTGCAATCTTGCTCCGCATTTATCAGTGGCTCTGCACTCCATGAATCGGAACTTAACTGTCTAAATTATAAAACGAAACGACATATTTAAAATGACAAATGCTTCCAAGCTTCAGTAAATGAAAACAGTTCTTACATTCCATTAAACTTCTTTTGAAAAAAATATCTTTTGAAAGCAAGAAGAACTTAGTTGGACGGTTACCTGGCATCCCTCCTTTGATCGTTTCTTCACTGAACTTCAACGATGAAGAGTTGATGGAAAAGGCTTGAAATCATTCAAAGTATTTTTAGCAGGCTGTACGCTTAGGAGGGAAAAATTTGTAGGACGATCATCGATCATTGAACTTTAGCTGGACTGACATTTTATGCTGGTTATTTCATTCAGCAGTCACTTATCAGGTTGAAAGAAATGAAGTGAAGCCATAAGAAGCCTTAACATTGTTTAACGTGACATAATACTTTGTCCATTCTGGATTTACCATTCCAGAACGAGATGCTGTCGCTCAAGTCAGTGACTTGCTAAGTGCTTCTCGGCTGGTTGAGCAGAAGCAATTTGAAGGGAATTTTATTTTCAATAAAATTATCGGTCATAATATGTTAAAAAAATAAATTATTGATTAGAAAGCACGAAAAATTTCTATATTCAGGAATTTCAACTCAGTATATCGGCAAATCGAAGGCGAGCACTTATGACTATGCCACCGTGTGTTTTGTCGTAACCTTTTTCCTGTAGAATACTTGTGGTCATTGATCGAAACGTCGACGTTTGCAAATCACCCGATGGAATTATTCTTACCTCGTCGTGTATACATTCACGTTCGTAGCAATTTAGTGATCGTTAGAACGGTTAAGTTGAGGAAATGATGCTTAGGTAGAAAAATGTTGTGTACAATTTCATATTTCGTAGCTGCACCGATCTTTTCGCATAGGTAAATGTAGATCTTTTTGATTTTTAATGTTATATCTTTCGCCTGGTGAGTTTAAATGCGAGGAAAATGGTTCAGTCTTTTTGACGTAGTTGTTTGATAGTTCTGTAATCACGAGAATTCGTTACTCATGTTATGACAAGCAAAATTTTTGATTTTTAGTATGCATTTTGCTGTTCTATTGCGTTATTTGTGTTTGCGCTTTGAAAGAATGTTGCGTTTCTATTTATTGATTATTTGAATTGGAAATTTAGGATTTTTCTCCATTCATTTTTTGGATATCAATCATTAACCGTACTTGTCATCTGTTGACACCATTGTTATGATCTGATGAAATCAGTTTCTAATGACAACCATTTCAGAAATTCGAATGCATTTTGCGGGGTTACTGCTTTTGTTGAATATTGGGGGAAGGTTTGAAAAGGAAGGCACGGTTTCACCGTTTTCGCGAAAGATCTTATAAAAATCATTTATGCGAAATGCGTTAGGCATTTGGATCTCTAGTGTGAATAAACCGTAGCCTGCTTAAATACTCTCCCACCTCCAAGGAAGTAGAAGCAAAAAGACTGTGTAAGCATATCATGAAATCTTGTCTCGGTGAAATACAGTCTCGATTGCTAGTGGCTTGGAGTTTTTCATTTTGTTAACAACGGCCATTCTATGAATACGATCGTTCAGGTGACCTCTGTGACCTCCACGTTATATTACTGCTTACGTTAAAACGCAAATGTTTAATCGGGCGGTTCGC